ACTCTCTTTCACTCCTCTTACCTAAGCAGCTATCCCTGGAGCAGGAGAGAAGCTCAAGTTATCTCTTTGGCAGCTTCTTTTCTGTGGTTTTGTGCTCAAAGGAGACATGTTGGATGGAAGAGCTGTGAAGAGAAGGTGCTATCACCCTGCAGAAAGGTTGTGCTGTGGTCTGGAGTGCATGAGAGAAAGCACTTGTGGAAGGGGACAGTGATATCTCTCTCCATTGTTACTACTGATTTGAAATGTTATTACTTTGGGGTTTATTTATTTGGGCTCCCCACCACCCCCTTTTTTTTTTTTTTTTTTTAATTATTCCTGAGTTGTTCCATGGTGACTGATTAAGTGCAGGTACAAGAGGCACTCTGTCACTGAGAATTGCTCCTCCAAATGTATGTCTGTGGGGTCTCTCACCTTCTTCTAGCTGACATTTACCTTTCAGAATTATATCAATCATGTAGTTGTGTTATGCTTCATAAAAGCATTGACATGTGTTATTGCTTAAAAACAATAATTGCAATTCAAATGTGCTGGATTTCTGTAAAATGTTTGAGGAGATGGTAGACTGTCCCTCATTTGCAGTTTATTTTTTCAGAGGTGCAAACATACTGGCAGTCCTTCCAGAATCTTACATTTCTGTCATGTCTTTAGCTTTTTCCCTTTCCTTTGTGTGTAGGTGAATGATATTTATTTTCTTCAATTTCTTTTGTGGTGTTGAAATCACTTTGTATCCTCATTAATCACAGGGAGGAAGATTTTCAGCCTTGAATTCCAGTACCATTGATAAATAATATGGTGGCAAATGCCTTAAGCTAAAATGCAAATTTTCACTTATGAATTATTAAAGGTAGTGCTGTAAGTATATGAAGAATTAATTTATAGATAATGATAAATAATGATCAGTCTATTCCTTGTTACATTTAGGCTAGTGTCAAATAGATATGGTTTATTATTAATGAAAAAATTACTCCTTTATTTGTACTACAATGAATATATATTTTCAGTGGGACTTAGACTTCTCTCTCTACTTCAAGTATAAATAATACGAGCTATGAATCTACATAACTTCTGCCATAAATTTGAGGAAAACTGAGTAAAAAATTTGTGGACCCTTAACTTTGTCATATATTTTGAAGGGGGAAATATATTTAATAAAGTTTAATTAATAACATATTTCTTGTTTTTTGGTAAAATTGCATAGATTTCAAGCCATATTTTTAATCAATTTGTTGCTGGCAAATGGTATCAAAATCATGATATTTTACTTCAAGACTACTAAATGGGCCACAATCTGCCCAATACAGTAAAATCTGACAATGAGGTGTTATAATGGGCATGAGTTTGTGGCTAAATCTCTTGAAAATATATTTGATGTGCAGAGTACTATTTAGCTGTAACCATACCAGCAAAATTTTAAGACTAGAGGAAATTAGGCAAATATACTAATGTTTACACTAAGTAAAAGCAATTCTATAGCTACTTTCTGCCTGGAGATTTAAAAAAAAATGTACTATTTTTCCTGTGTGGGTTGTTGTACTTGATGTGGCTGGTATTTTTGGCATTCACATCAAGCTGCTGGAGCTTACCTGATGTCACTTTCTGTAGAGGATGAAGGATGCATGGACAGAGAGAGCCCCAAAGGGCAAGATTAAGAAGGAAGATGTAAATGTTTTTGTTGCTGTCTTTTGAGGTAATGGTACTGTTCAGTGCCTCAAAGTGAAGTGTACATACTCAGTTCCTCAGGACAGTGCACTGCAAGTGCATGACCTGTTCAGAGCACTGGCTACTGCAAGTTTCCTGCCCCAGTTTTCCCCCAGTGTGTTTATATGGGTGTGGATGCAGTGGCTAAAAGTGCACATCTGTAGCAAGGATCACTGTGAGACAGAAGGAAAGATGGGAAAAGGAGCATCTTGCTCTTCAGTCAGCTTCACAGAATCTCTGTCCCATGTCCTGGTTTAGATCAGAATCTCAGCTTTGATCTTAGACTATTAATTCCTTAGCTTTGTTTTCTCTGTATGTATTTTTTGAGTGAGCAGTCCTATTGGCTGCATGATTTTTGAGTTTCCTGGGAAGAGTTAGACTGACTTAAGTAATATCAGCCAATCAGAACCCTCTCACTGGTATGGCTGTGTAAAATATGGCTCCCAGTGGTTGACAAAGTAACAGCTACTGTGTTCATTTAGGCAAACCAATTATCAAATTATCAAAAAGAGGAATTTTAACATTTTGAGAGCATTAGCAGAATAAAATATCTTGACATATGTCTTCAGAATGTTTGTATGGCATACAATGTGACATCTCAATAACAAAAAAACAAACCACAGCAAAACAACAACAATAAAAAAAAAAACAGCCCAGGAGGGTGTTTTTCAATGCTGGCAGCTGTGGATTATATACTAATTTTAAATCAACCTTCTTATGGCATGTAGGAAGCAGTTACTTTTGTTACTGGGACTGAGGTCAGAGCTCACTGATAATGGTACTTGTAATGCCTGTGTTTTTATATGTTCTTCTAAATTTTCACTGCAGACTTGCAGACATTTTTGCTGTCATGGGAAGCTGCAGCAGGTAGGGTGTCTTTGGCTTTTGGGTTTGTATCTGGTGCCATTTCCTTATAGCCTCAGTTTTGATATAAACTTCTCCTCTGGGAATTCAGATCCATTCAGTATGTATAAAACTTTCATATGCAATATCATACCTTTTTCCTTGCTGCCCTCTGAAATGTAACAGCAGGCTCCAGATTCTAATGAAGATTTTCTCACCTTCATGTTTTATTAAGGCTCCTGTGCTTTGATGCTTGGGATGAGTTCATGTGGATAAAGGTGGACTCAAGTCTTGATGCCTTAGAATCATCTGAATATTTGCCAGTTTTCCAAGTGATTTTGTCTTGCTTATTTTGCTGCTTTGTTTTGCCCATTTGGAAACATGACAAATTAGGGTAATGAAATTTGTGCTGCTGTTTCCCAGTAAAGCTCTGGTAAGCCATATGATCCTACAATTTGTAAAGCATGTTTATAGTTATTTAATTGTAAGACAGAAGTGGAAAATAGGGTTTTAGCTGGGACTTGGAAATGAAGGACTTTCAGTCTGTTAAAAGGAAACAAGAAAATGTCACCTTTAAATGAGGAAGAGGTTGGATGAAACTATCATAGCCTTGGGACTAAAGAAACCACCAAAAAACCAAATACAAAGCAAGACTACCATGCTTAGCAATGTTCAGTCTTCAGTCAAACCTGACTTATTTGATAAACTATTTTCCAAAATTTTGGTAAGTGCAAGCCTCCCTTTGGTTCACCTGCCCTCATAGAGCCACTTGAGTTTGCAACAGCGCCTTTGCTCCAGGAGAATGGCTGTGGGTGTTTGGTGGAAGTGCTCCTGTTCTCTCTGGCAGTCTGGAGGAATAAAACCTCTCCTGGCAGCTGCTGGTGGTGGTTTGCCATCTTCTGACCAGTGTAAACACTTGCATCCTGTTCTTGCTTCCTTGTCTTGAAGAAACTGAACAGCAGGCAAAGTGTTCTCTTTTAAGGCTTTGTGACCAACACTTTGACTCCCAGTCAAAAAGATGTAATGCCATAATTCAGGATATTCTGATGTGGATTTGATTGTTTGGATTGTATGTTAATATTTGAAAATAAACTTTTCAATTGATCTGTTGTGTCTAAGCAACAGTGTATTGTATTGTGTAAACAAAACCAAAAAGAAACCCTTACATCTGAATAATGCTGGTGGTATTATAAAGTGATTTCAGGAGTCTAAAGTCATTACACATACCTCAGAAGCTGATGAGACATTTGTGTGACTGGATTTGTTTTATGTTAATATTTGCTTCAAGGCTAAATATTCTAAGTGCCTTTACTTACTAAATACCTTTACTTATTAGATCATATCACCAAATTTTTGCTAATTTAGGATGATATCACAACTTAAGCCCTATGCTAAAGATTTTCTTTCTTTTATTGGGCAATTCTATATGAAAATTATTTTTATCAAGAATTCTTTAGCTTGAAGTGTGGTGGTGGGGTTTCGTTTTTGTGTGTATATTTTGGTTTGGTTTTTTTCCCCCCAGCCACGTATCTCAATCATTAAAATGATTCTGGTACAGTTATGTAAATGTAGCACTGTTACTATACTGCTATTTAAAATAATTTAATGGCAGAGTATCTCACTGTCCTTTTCTATTTATTACAAAAGACTTCTTTGCAAAGTAAGGAAACATTCCTCTCCAGCTGCTTATAAAAGTGGTTTTCAGAACAGTTAAGTGGATAAATGTTACTAGGCTACACTCTAAACCACTTGGGAGTTGAACTTTTTACTCTGTATCCCTGTCCAAAGGAAGCAGACATTTTTAAAAACTCCAGAATAGTGTAAGCTGGTTCTGCCAAGGCATTCTACCTGTCTTGACATTTCATTCTTCAGGGAGAGCCAGAGTGGAGGGTTGTGACTTCTGAATGGATTCTCTGAGAAGAACATCTCCCCACGGTCTTTGCTTGAGGTGCAGGCCATTTAAGAAATGCAATGTGTCATTCATAAACAACCTTTGGTGCTTGTTACTAAAACCAGCACAAGGCTGCTTTGTTCAGGGAGGAAATACTTCAGGGTCCAGCAGGTTGATGGCCTCTATTTCAAATGTACTGTGTGTTGAGGGGTCCTCCAAAAGAAGAAAATGGTCTGATAGGTCACACTTCAACAATCATTGAATTACAGTGTGATATTATTTGAACCCTAAGGAACAGGTTTCCTGAAAAACTGTAAATAGTATCAATAATTAAAGAAAATACCATTTCTGTGTGTGTAAGGTTAAATCAGCTACAATTATTATTCTTGTAATATTAATGATATGATGCTTGCAAAGCAGTTTTTCTTTTTTTTTCTTTCCCTTTCACTTGCTGTTGGGAAGTATAATTGCCTAATTTTCCAGGATTGCTGTGTGAGCTACTGATGTTGCAAGTGTCTGTCTCATTGTCTTTTTCCTCTTTCTTCCCCTGCCCCCACGAAACATGCAGGAAGTAATTTTGGCACTGCAAGGGATCTTGCAGAAGAAATAAGATCATTAACATCTGAGAAAGAGGGACTGGAAGGACTTCTCAATGAACTGTTGGTTCTGAGTGCCAGAAATACGCGAAAATTAGAGAGAATTAAAGATGATTACACCAGACTGAAACAAGAACTTGAACAAGGAGAGACTGCCTTTGGTGAGTAGTTTACAGACTGTTACAGCTTTTTGCTCTGACCTGAACTCCTGAGGATGTGCTGGGTTTGATGAATCATTCTGCATTTCACAAAACATACTGATTGTCCTGGGGAAAGTCTGGCAATGACCTAGAGAAGCAGTATGTTCAATATCCTCTCATCCTCCCTCTGGATTTGGGGGGACCGTGAGGAACAGGGGATACCCCAGCAATATACCACTCTAAAAAATCTGTCTTAGCCCAGTTCTCAAAGCCTTTCTTTTCTAAGACCATTTTTGTCACAGTGATGATGGGGCTGTGCTTGTGCTCCCATACAGTGGAACATGAAGTCTTTATGCAGAATCAGTAGATGTGTCTGGCTGTGACAATAGGAACATGTTTGGTATATGAAACCAAATGTTTAGTGCATACATATATGGCACATTTGGTGGTGGGTATGAATGTATGAGGTGCAAGAGACTTTCAGAATCAGACTTGATTCTGAAAGCAAGAATTCTCATAGTAAACTTGTGTTTGAGGGGGAGTTTAAACAACTTGCCAAGTGCTGCTCTCACACAACAATGAGCAGTGTGCTTGGGTTGTAGTGTCATGGTGGAATTGGGGAGGTTGTCTGTGATTACTGGGAAAGGTACTGACAAATTATCAAACAGCAAAGTCATTCCTAGACTTGACTTACTCTCTTGCCTGCTGTACTCACTCCTGAAGTTGAAGCAGATAAAATGGCCTTGCTGCTTGCTTAAGTGAAAAGGCTCAGTAACATTTGATTGACTACAAATGTACAGTTACTGTAATTATCTCTGAACTAAATACAATCCTGAGAGCTACTTTAAAGCTTTAGGATTTTGAAATGCCTTTCCTTTTTCAGGATCTTATGAGCAGTAGGCGGGGTGGAGACAGGAAGGTGCATCTATTTTAGAAGCATATGAAGCTTCTTCATAGGCAAGCAAATAAGCAGAGCTATCTTAGAAACAAAAAGATTTGTAGGCAGCTGGATAAATCTAAGACAATGTTTTAAAAATGCAAAGAATAATATATATACACACACTTCTAGATAAGAACTTGCTTTTCTAGAATCTAGATTAAATTTAAATTCCTCAAATTTAGTGCATTGTGATAAAAACCCATAAATGTGCATCAGGCAGTGCTTCTTCTTTCCCTGGATTTTCAAGAGAGTTGAAAAGGATTCTGACCTTCTAATCAGCCCATTTTGTTTCTCTTTTATTTTAGGACAATTAAACTTCCTATAATATACATGTACATTCTCATTTGTGGTTTAATTTAGTGAGGTTTTAAATCAAGCCTGTGCAAGATGCTTGCTGAAGCAACAGAAATGGTATAAGTTCATAGACTCTTTTTTTCCCTTTTGTATTTATACAGCTGAAAGGAGATAGCTTCTTTATCTGACCTCTAGTGTCCCACAATTGGTGACAATAAATTTCAAAATACTGGGTGTTTACTCTGTAGATTTTCCTTTAATTTACTGTGATTCTGTAGGTATAAGGAGAAATTTATCCTTGTGTTAAAATAAAATACTGTCAAGCAGATGCTAGTTAGAGATACATAAATCGAAACCTGACATCTTCCCTTTTCATCCTCCCTGCCTCCTGTACATGTGATCAACCCTATTTTCTCCTTTAAAAAATGAAAATATTTGAGAACACTGGCATGGGTTTGATACCAACACATTTAACTGAATGTAAGCTTTCAGTTACTCTCTGGAAAACAGTATGCAGATGGTGTCTTGAGGAAAAGAGGCCACCTTTATGGAACAGTGTTATTTTGCACAGCACTTATATGTTTAGAGAATAAAGCATAAAGAATTGGAATACAATTTTTTGCCATTTGTTTTTGCTGTTGTTTGAAAGCACTGGAGGTAATTGTGTTGGCTTTGTCTGCACTGTGAAAGGTGTGATTTGAGTCGGGGTAGCTAACCTGACTTGCATCACAGCCCTAGGCCTGGTGTTTCATGTATGCCAATAAAATCTGTGTTGCTGCAGAGAAAGGCAATTCTGCCTTTTTTTTCTGTTCTCTTCGGTTCCTGCCCAACTGTGCACTAGATTAGGGTTAGGTCCTATACGTGTCTATTTCAGTGTCATCTGGCACTTGAATTGTTGTTTTGTGCCTGTGAGCTTCTTGAAAACTTTGATTTTTTTTTTTTTAACTGAACTTAATACTCTTTTGTATGGAAAACATTAGACAAAAAAATTAAATGCTAAAATATGTGTGTATGTTTGTCTTTATCTTGTATATAAATTGGTCACCTATTTTTTATTTCATTAATAACTGTTGATTTTTCACAGTAATGCAGATATAAGGAAGCAGACGTCAAGGGAAGAGACTTAATCACACAATAATCAGAGCTGGAATTTTAAATAGGACACATCATTAGCATGTTAATGAATTTTCTCACTCTGTGCCAGCTGCCCAAGTATAAAAGATATTGCAGATGTAGTGCAAAAATCAGGCTTGGCTTACTGCACTGAGAGCTGTCATTGCTCTCTATGAAGGAAATTTGACAAAAAAATCCTTTCATATTTTTAGAGATGCTAAAAAATATGCTTTTCATGTTGGATAATAGAAGCATTGACAAGCAACACTAAGTATTAGCATTTTAGGATGAATAGTACTAACTTGCCCTTTAGACATTGACTTTCTTCTGAGGCCATCAAAATGCTGCGATAAAAGTGATCAACTTTTATTGCCACTTTACAATAGGAAATCCAGAGACTTAGAGGTCATGTAATTTTACCTGGAATGGTGGTGAAAGAGTTTCCCAGGTAGTCTAGCATTAATCCTGATTGAATCAATCCTTGCAATAAACAAGTGAAACCAAGCGGTGCTGTTGATTCTGTGTGAGCTTTATATTCTTCTGGACCACAGACATGATGGTTCTGGGGAAATTGCTGAAGGTCTTGTGCTTGGTCATTGAGCAGACCTGTCTTATAAAGTCAAAAGGATCTGTTATGGCAAAGAAGAGAAGTGATTTTACAGCCCAAAACAACCAAACTTGTGTTCCAGACAAGTGAAGCCTAATTACTTGCCTGTCTGCCAAACTGTTGGATTGTGCTTATAAATCCTGGCTTGGGTTGATTGGCATTTGTAACCCAGGGCTGGAAATGAAACCTACCCTCTTGTTGTGATTTCCTCATCACCAGTACTGATGGGCAAGTTTTCCTGTCTTGTCTGCTGAGTTCTTTTCCTGGCTGCTCTCAGCCTTTTTCTGCCCCTATTACACTTTTGGGAAAGCACCTCCTGTAAGTAATGTGTGTACACACACAGCTAGGGGACACCGTGCTTCCCGAGCTAATTGCTAGGTTGTGCTTGCCAAGTCATGTTAAGTAGAATTTCTATACTGCATTAATTTCTAGAGGAAATATAAAATAAAGGCTTTCATGCACGTGAAAATAGCTTTGTAACCCTTTTAAAAAAACACCAAAACCCAAACTACTGTTTGAAGGCTGATATTTCAGTCTCTCTGTTCAATTCTTGTTTCCATCCTTGACTTTTATTGTCTTAGAAATTGCTTGTGTAAGTCTGAAAGCTCTTACCAGTCTGCTTGTACAGTAAAGCTTTCTGGAATTGAACAGATAGGTTTATTAAACAACAAACTAGATGTAGCAGAGGGGTTTCTTGAGAAGCTTGGGAAATTTCTATCACACTCAGTTTTACTTTCTTTTGTTCAACACACACGCTCTGCATGCTTGCACGGAATATCTCGCAGTGTTTTGTCCTTTTAACAGGAGAAAAACCTATTGGAGTTCATTTTTTTTAATCTGCTTTATTAAAAAGAAAATAAACTCCAATGTTTTTGCTTTAGAATCCTAATTAGGAATAAATATGTTCAGAATGTACTTCAAAGAATAATAAAAATTCTGCTATTTTTATAGTCATTGTTCCAAAAGCTGAACATTTGACTGTTGTGAAGGATGCAATTAATTAGTCTGAAACTTAATATTGTGTGGACAGCAGAAACCACTAGTGGTGCTGCTTAATGTAATACTCACTATTGTATACTGAAATATTTATGAAAAGAAGGTTCTGTGCTTCATATACAATTGTGTAGGATGTGATTTATCAAAGTGTTAATGACCATTTGCTACAAAGCAGTCTTATTCTATTTCAAAGACATTTTTATTCTGATAGATGCAACACAGAAAGTCTTACAATAGAAACACATGCAGCGTACTTTGCACTGAGAAACCTACCTTTTTTTGTTTGTTTAAATATTTGTTTTTAATGCTAGCTTTAATACAAAAGCTTCTCTATTTTTCTTCCTAACTGGTGTTTGGAATACTATTTGAAGATGTCTAAAGATTATTAACAATTTTACACCATTTTTAAGTGTTGCAAAAAATACCAGCTAAGTATGACATAAACTCACATGCCTATGGCATAACCAGAATGATGCCATGTTTTTTTAACTGATTTTTCAGGTGGTGGTTTTAATGTTCTTCCTCAGTGATAGTTTTTCTTCACCAAACAGGCTTTCCATATTGTATAGTTCATCCTCTGTCTAAGCAATTATGTGATTCTAAACTGAAGAGCTGAACCTTTTGATTGCTTCTGTTTAAATAAATCATTAAAGGAGAGCCCACATAGTGTGTAACAGATGGGCTTCCATGAGGGAGAAGAAGCTTCTCTGAGTCTTTTTGTATCTCTACTTCTAATCTGGGCAAGGTCATTAAGTTCTGCTTGTCACACCTTTATGAAATGCTTGTTGTCACTAAAGTGAGTGGTGCAATTGAATGGCTTATTGCTTATGTCTGTGGCCATCTCTACTCAGACAGTGGTCCTGCAGGATTTAGCCAGTGATGCCTCTGTTTAGCTTTCACAGAAGGTGTAAAACCCTTGGTGATGCAGGGATGGACTGGCAGTGTAGCTGGTAGCATCCTTTACTCTGAGCTGATGTTCAGTTGGTGCTCCAGAGTAGCACTTGGCAGCCTTTTGTTGGGCAGTATGGAAAAATCATATCCACATAGAAAACCAAAAGGATAAAACAACAG